GTGTATATGCTCCATGAAGGCAGAATTCTAGCTCTCTTCATCATTGCTGTGTTCCTTTCAAATAACCCTAAGATTTATATGGAACCACAAAAGATCCCCAAACAGCCAAAGCAATCTGGAGAAAAAAAGACCAAGGCTGGAGGTATCATGCTCCCTGACTTCAGTCTGTACTGCAAAGCAGTATGGTACTGGCAGACGTTGCATGATTTCTATGTGTTTTATGGCCCAGAATACGGTATTTTGGTGGATGTTCCAAGTGAGCTACTACACTGTTTTGATCTGTATTCATCAGTGATATTGGCCTATGATTTTCTTTTTATGTAGTGTCTTTGCTTAGGGCAATGGTGGCATCATAGAATGAATTTAGGAGTATTCCCTCCTTGTCAACTTTTTGGAAGAGTTTGAGAAGGAAAAATATTCTGTCGTCTTTATAGGTTTGTTAGAATTCCCTGTGAAGCTGTTGGGCCCTGTACCTTTGTTTGCTGGGAGTTTTTTGTTACCAATTCAATTTTGCTGCTGGTGATCAGTCTGTTCAGATGGTCTATTTCTTCCTGATTCAGTCTTGGGAGATTGTATGTCTCCAGAAACTTATCTCTTTCTTCTGAGTTGTCCAATTTGTTAGCGTATAGCTGTCCATAGTTTTCTCTTATGATTTTTTTGTATCTCTGTAATATCAGTTCTAATTTCTCCTTTTTCATTTCTTATTTTGTTTATTTGGGTCTTCTCATTTTTTTTCTTAATGAGTCTGGCTAAAAGCTTATCAATTTTGTTTATCTTATTAAAAAAAACAGCTCTTGGTTTCATTGATCTTTTCTATTACTTTGGCTCTTACTTACTTCCTCTGTGATTGTGATTATTTCCCTTCTTCTGTTGACTTTGGGCTTTGTTTGCTTTTTTAATTAATTCATTTAAATGGTGGTTTATGTTGCTTTTTTGAAAATTTTCCTGTTTTGGGGGGTAGGCCTGTATCACTGTACACTTCCCTCATAGAACTGCTCTTGTGGTGTCCCATAGATTTTGGAAAGTTGCGTTTTTATTTTCATTTATCTCAAGGTGCTTTCTGATTTCCTCTTTTATTTCTTAGTTGACCCATTGGTCTTTTAGTAGCATGTTGTTTAGTCTCCATGTGTTTGTGTTTTTACCATTTTTCTTCCTGTAATTGATTTCTAGTTTCATGTCCTTGTGGTCAGAAGAAGTGCTTAATATAATTTCTATCCTCTTAAATTTATTGAGACTTGTTTTGTGGCATAGTATGTGATCTATCCTAGAACTTTTCATGTACACTCGAGAAGAATATGTATTCTGCTGTTTTCAGATGGAATGTCCTATAGATATCTATTTAGTCCAACTGGTCTAATGTGTCACTTAAGGCCACTGTTTTCTTATTGATTTTCTGTCTGGATGATCTGTTCATTGATGTAAGTGGTATGCTAAAGTCCCCTACTATTATTTCATTATTGTAAATTTCTCCCCTTATGTTTGCTAGTATTTGCTTTATATATTTAGCCACAGTATAGCAGCTTCATTGTTAATTGCTAAAACTTGGAAGCAACCAAAATGCCTTTCAGTAGGTAAGTGGATAAATAAACTGTGGCACATCCAGATATGAACTATTATTCAGTGCTAAAAAGTAATAAGCTATCAAGGCATAAAAACATATGGAAGAAACTCACATGCCTACTACTAAATGAAAAGTGGGAATCTGAAATATCTTCATATTATATGATTCCAACTATATGACATTCTGGAAAAGACAAAACTATGGAGAAAGTAAAAAGATCAGTGGTGGCCTAGAGTTGGGGAAATAAGGGATGAATAGGCAAAGCACAGAGGATTTTTAGGGCAGTAAAACTGTTTTGTATGATACTGTATTGGTGGATATGTGTCATTATATATGTGTCCAAACCTGTAAAGTCCAACACTAAGAGTGAACCCAAATGTAAACTATGGACTTTAGGGGATAATGATGTGTCAGTGTAGGGTCATGGATTATAACAAATGAACCACTCTTCCCACCCATGTAGGATGTAGGATATTGATAGTGACAGAGGCTGTGCATGTGTTGGAGTAGGAGGTATATGAGAATTCTCTGTACTTTCTATTCAACATTTCTGTGAACCTAAAAGTGCTCTAAAAAAATAAAATCCATTAAAAAAAATTAAGTACTAATACTTGCTACAACATGTATGAACCTTGAAAACATTATGCTTAATTAAAAAACCACTCACAAAAGACCACATATTGTATGATTCCATTTATTTGAAATGTCTCAAAATGGTAAATCTATAGAGACATAAAGTAGATAAGGGTTTGCCATGGCCTGGAGATTAAAAAGTAATGGGCAGTTAGTGCTAATAGCTATGTATATTTTGGAAGAAGAGTGATGGAAATGTTCTAAAATTAGATAGTGTTGATGGTGGCACAATTCTGTGAATACGCTAAAAAGCAATGAATTATGCAGCTTAAACAGGTGAATTTATAGGATGTGAATTATAGCTCAATAAAGCTATTATATAAAAAAAAGGCTAGCTCTAAAAATACTTCTAGCAAGCGTAGGTTTATCATATTAAGTGTACAGCCTTAACCATAAGTCAATGTGTAAGCATGACACTTAGATAACTTTGAATCCACTGGCACCACCATTACTTCCTTTGTGCCTGCAGACAGTCACTTAAACTCATTAAAGTTTAAGTGTTTTCCCATCAGTAAAACTGAGATAATCCTCATGGCATAGCTGAGCAACTTAATAAGATATCGCAGAAAAAGCACCTGGTGGGAGTTTTCTCACTGTTGGAGATTGAAGTTACAAATATGTAAGAGAGGAAGGCAAAAGAAATCCTGTGTTACTGGATTAGAGTCAGAGATATCAGTATGAGTCCATGTTTATTTCACTATATTTGTGGCTAGATATGAGAATAACTGTAGATACATGTGTATTCATGGTTTAACATACATACAGAGATTTCCCAGCTCTGTTAGCAGAGAGGGCCTCAAAGCAGCGATATTCCAGTAGCCATCAGCATACCTGACACCCAGATCTGAGTTTCTAAATAAACATTTTCCAATAAATGGCCAGAGCTGGAATAATTTGAACAACACAATAAATAAAGTTAGTATTGGATTATGGCTCCCCAAATAAAGTAAATACCCTATACTGATCGGCACAAATGATTGAATCCATAAATAAACTGAAGAGAAGAAATGTTCCTTACGAAAGAATTCCAAAGGATAAACAGAGAAGGAAGGAGGGGAAATAATAACAGCACCTGCTGCAGGCAAGACCTGTAGACTAATGTTCACATTTGTGGCTGAAACTTTATGGAGTGAGAGGGTATTTCCTTAGCCTCAAAGTATTGCCCCCCCAAATATTTATTACCTTCTGGGGTGGTTTTAACATTTGTTTACAAATTTGTAGTAACTTGTCAGTGAAGAAACCTGGCAGGCACCACCTTAACCAAGTGATTAAGGTTTACACCCCAGTTGTAAGTCACTTTGGTATTACGTACCCCTGATAACATGACGTGATGTGAAGCCAAGGACGTATCAGCTCTGTAGTATTCTTCCCACCCATTACCCTAGTCTGACCATGAGAAAACATCAGATAGACCCAAACTGAGGAACATTCTACAAATACCTGAGCAGTACTCTTCAGAAGTGTTAAGATAATAAAGAACAAGGGAAGACCAAGAAAGAAACTTGCTGGAAAAGACTACAAAAACGTGATGGCTAAGTGTGATGTGTGGTATCCTGGATTGGATCTTAGAACAGAAAAAGGTCATTAGTGGCACAAAGGTGATATCTGAATAAAGTCTGCAGTTTAGATAATAGTGAACGGTGTTCATTCTTAGGTTTAGTAAATGTGCCCTGGTTATGGAAGATAATATTAGGAAAAGGTGGATGAACAGTATTCAGGAATTCTGTGCACTCTCTGTAGATTTATACTTACTGCAAAATAAAAAAGTTAAAAAGCAAAACAAGGACTTGGCCTGCTATACATGCTCAATAAATCATCCTCAATATTATCTCCCCTTGCTAGCTATCACTAAACTCCAAGATGGCATCTCTTTGAACTGATTAAGCAACCCACGTTCTGCTTTTCTGTGAACTCCCTCCCCAGCCTCAAAAACCCCTTTAGTTATAATGGGGAGACTCCAAGGAATCATAGTAGCCAACGTAACGTTCCTACCACATGCCTCTTCTGCCCTGACCTGTCAGAATTCATTGGACCAGAAATGGGCACTTGACCCAAACTGAGCCAATGAGCCCTTCTACTGGGAATTTGAGGTTCCAGGTACACCTGTCTGATGTTTTGAATAGAGGAGATTTACTTAAGGGCTCTTAGAATGTATTTTCTAATATCTGGCTTGGGGAGCAAGGAAGTCATTTATTATAAACAGGATGTTTATTTTTTCTCAAAATTCACATGTTGAAATGCCAACCCAATATGTGATGATATGAGGAGGTGGAGCCTTTGGGAGGTAATTAGATCATAAGTGTGTCCTCATGAATGGGATTAGTGTCCTTATTTAAAAAAAAAAAAAAGAAGAAAGAAAGAAAGACCCCAGGAGGCTTTCTAATTCTCTTTCTGCCAAGTGAGGGCACAATGAAAAATCAGCAGTCTAAAAGCAGAAGAGACCCATCGGACCTCATCAGAACCCAACCATGCTGGCACACTTATCTTGGAATTCCAGCCTCCAGAACTATGAGAAACTGGTTTCTGCTGTCTATGGTATATTTGTTGTAGTAGTCTGAGCAAATCAAGACACCCCTCTACAGCAAGAGGGCAGAATGAAACAGGTATACTCTGAGAGGCAGAACTGACAAATCAGGAGAGAAAGGATTACCTGGTCACTATGGAGCTCTAGCCGTTAGTCCTTACTGGTTCCCCACAGCCTAGCTGCTCCCCCGACCTTAGACTCCACGAAATGCCCACTTATCCCTATTTCTCTTTGGGCTTAAATTAGCTAGATATGGTTTCTGTTAATATAACCTTCAAAGTGCTAATTTTGGAAGGAAATGACATACATTTAGTTGTAAGTGTTCGGTTGTATTTGCTTTTTAATAGTCAAGGTAAATTTTTAGTCACAGTTTACACAAACTGTCTGGTTAAAGTACCCTATCCTTACACATAGGTGCACATAAACCACATTTTTTCAATTCCAGTCACTTTTTCACTTTGGTCACTTGTTCATTCATTCTGAAATTACTTTACTCTGCCCCCATCATGTCCAAATTCCATCCTTACTGCCAGCTTTGGTTTAAATGCCATCTCTTCCATACAGCCTTCCTTGCTACCCACCTAAAAAAAAAGAAAAAAATACATATACCCCGTGTTTTATTATATGTATCTTTTATTCCTTTCAGCCCTTTCTGTCTTTGCATAGCCATTTATTCAACACATATCACCTTTCCTCTTAGAAGTGAAGCTATTTGAGATCAGCTTCCCTGTTCTTGTGCAGGCAGCACTTGAAGGAACATCTCAAGAAGCACTGCACTGCATACTGACAGAAGTTCTTAGTTTTAATATAGTGTAATATATCCTCTTTCCCTTTACTAAGGCTTTTTGTGTGTGTCCTATTTAATACCTTCAGCTGACCCAAGGTGATGAAGATATTCTCTAATGTTTTAGATATGTGAGATGGCTTTACTTCTTTTTTTAAAATTTTTTTATGTTTTACTGAAGTGTTGTTGATCTGCAGTGTTAGTTTCAGGTGTACAGCAAAGCAATTCAGTTATACATATACATACATACATACTTTTTTTTTCAGATTCTTTTCCATTATAGCTTATTACAAGAAATTGAATATAGTTCCCTGTGCTGTACAATAGGTCCTTGTTGTATATCTATTTTATATATAGTAATGTGTGTCTGTTAATTCCAGACTCCTAAGTTATCCATCTCCCCTCTTTCCCCTTGGTTTTATTTCTTAAAAATAATTTTCTTACTAAGTTCAGTAAAAGAATGCGGATAACCGTCATTGCTAGCTTGCATTTCTGTCCTTCTTAAGCAGTTGCACGTGTTCATCAAAAGTCTTAAGACTTAAAAATGCTTAAGAATGTTCATAGTAGCCAAAACCTGGAAACAAATGTTCATGAACAGAAAATGGATAGTCATTGTGACACATTCATAAAAGGCATATTATATGGCAATAAACAAATTACTACTGAATCCAAAAATGCAGATGAATTGCTTAAACATAATATTGAGGGTTTTTTGGTTGTTGTTGTTGTTCCTTTTTTATTAAAAGCAGGCACAAAATTTTTCCAGTTTTGGGGATTCAACTTATGTAAATTTCAATCCCAGGCCAAATTAATTGATTGTGGTTATTTTTTTCAGGGGACTCTGACTGGGAGAGGGGAAGTGGAAAGCTTCCCAGGGGGGTTGTATATTCTATTATTTCTTAATCCAGAGACTGACTATGCAGGTGTGTTCACTTTATACAAATCCATCAAGTTTATAATTTCTGTGCACATTTTGGTATGACTGTTATACTTCAATAAAACATTTTAAACAGAAAAGTTTTCACACGTTACTTGTAGCTACGGTACCAGTGCCTTAGGCGTTGCGCTAAAGGGTTGTGTATGTGTAAATTACATATCCTTTTGTAGCACAAAAACCTATTAAAATCAATATTTTTATATTACACCTTTGAGAATTAAGAGGTAAAATTACACAGTGATTTATTCAGAAGTACAAATAGGAACAATAATAAATGTTGATCGATTTTAAAGTTATGGAGGCTTGAGAATTTAAATTGGAGTTTCATATGCAAAAGCAATTAATTTGTTCAGATGACCTTGGTATTTATGATTAGCTAGGAATTTGATTAAGCAGGGGTTTTGCAATGTGGAAGTGTTCCCCTTACCTCCCCGCCCCTTTTTTTTTAATCCTCTGGTGTATGTGACCTGGGGTGTTCTGAAAACACTCTGAACGTTAGAAATTTGCTTAAAATCTAGTTAAGTGGGTTATAGTTCCATCAAAACTATCAGAGGGGAAACCAAGATTAAATATTAAGAACTGTCTAGGCCAAGAGACAAAATCTGCAATGTCTGTATTCTGGGGAAATCTTTTCCAGAGGAGAAGATGTTCTGGGTTTTGTTGTTGTTGTTTGTTGTTGTTGGGTTTGGGGTTTTTTTTGTCTTTGGTTTTGGTTTTGTTGTTTTTCTTTTTTTCCTAGAATGAACTCAAAATAATTCCTAGGATTTGAAGGCTAAAACGTTTTATTAGGTCTTCCGGGTTACAGCATTTTTTGCTCAGTAATTAGATTTAAATTTGAAAAGACATTGGTTAGAACCTTGCAGGATAAAGAAGCCACTACAGGGCAAAGTGCAGCGTGCAGCAGGGGGCCCTCAGAGGACTAGGAAAGGAAAGGGAAGACGATTTCTTAGACCTGCTGTCTCAGTTCCTTCAGGCCCTACAGCAAGATACCACAGACTGCGTGGCTTGTGAACAACAGACATTTACTTCGTGTATTTTCAGAGGCTGGGAAGACCAAGACCAGGGCACCAGCACATCTAGTGTCTGGTGAGAACCTGCTTCTTGGTTCACAGATAGCCGTTGCTGCTCACGTGGTAGAACAGGGAACAGGTGAGGGAACTCTCAGGACCTCTTCCTAAAAGCAGTGATCTCATTCCAGAGGGCTCCACTCTCATGATCTAATCACCTTCCAAAGGCTCCATCTCCCAACACTCAGAGACTGGGGATTAGGTTTACAAGGAATAAGAGATTTACTACGGGGATTTGAGTTAATCTGTATGTGGATGGAGCTCGAAAAGTGAAGGTCTCGACATAGGAATAGAAGGATTGGAGAAATAGTCACAAACGACTTTATCCTGAAGCACTGGTACAGGAGGACAAGTTGGGGTTTGCAGGAAAACACAAGAAGCCCATGCATCTCACTGCCAGAGAGGAACTGGAGGACCTGGCAAAGGAGGAGCTCGTGGAGAGCTCTGTGCCAAGCTCAGGTGGGCTTGAGGCAGCTGTTGGTCAGTGTGACCAGCAATCCAGAAGATGAGGCGGAGCAGAAGGGGAGAACAGGAGGCCCACCAGGCACCTCTATATCACGTCTGATCACCATAACCTTCCAAGAGTAGTATCTTCTGCTCTCATCTACCTTCTGAATCTCATAGAAGTTCCTCTAACTGGCCAACTCCATACAGAGAAGGGGATTATGAGAACTGTTCATTCCCAACCTTAGACAGGAGTCCAAGTGCTAGGTCAACAGTAAACAATCCAGCACAGGAAGCAGACTGAGAGGCTGCTCAGCTCCAAGGAGGGTATTTGCAGATAAGGCCAAAGATGGTGATGGAAAAGGTGGGAACTCCCAGAAGGTAGAGCTAACGGTCAGAGAATACAATGATCTGAAAATCTACTTTCGGGACCCTAGACTAGGGTGGAAACTTGGAACATCCCCACCCCAGAGAAGCACCTTGCTCAACAGGATTTCAGAATTTCTGTGAACTAGTAAGTGTTCTGTGCCTCCTGCTGCTCTCTTTTCCAAATAGAAGGGCTCACACCGGATATCCTGTCCCTATTCTATCTAGTCAGTGTTCAACTTGTCTCATAAATTTCTTTTAAAAGTTTGTCAGGTGTTGGCAAACATAGCCTGCAAGACAAATCTGGTTGCCCGTCTTTGTGAGTAAAGTTTTATTGGAATGCAGCTACATCCAGCCTATCTGTATACATAATGCCATTGGCTTCTTTTGCATCACAAGGGCAGGATGGAATCATTGTGATAGCAACTATATGACCCACAAAGGCTAGACTATTTATTAATCTGGCTCTTTACAGAAAGTTTGCCAGCTCATGAGCATGATCTATACATTGCAATTGGTGGTCATGTCTCTTAAGTCTCTCTTTTAATCTGTTGATTCCAGTAATGAGTTCATAGTAGGTCATGGCCTTTCTCATTTCTCTTTACCACTGCATGGTATTTCATTGAGTGGATGTAACACAGCATTCAACCCTATTGATGGGCATTTGGGTTTTTTCCCCAGTCTTTTGCTGCAATGACTAGCCTTCTGCAAATGTCTTCCTCTTGTCCCCTCGTAGTTTATTCAAAACAAGTTCCTAAAAGTAAGAACTCTGTGCCAACTTAGTGATATTGCCAACCTGCCTTCCACTCGAACGTAGACTTCTGCATTCCTACCAGTATAAGCGTCTCTTCAAGCCAGTAGGGGATGCTGTCAAACTTCTGAGTTTTGGCCAATTCTGATCATGGGAAATGGGATCTCAGTGTAGCTTTAAATTGTGTTTCTGTTATTATCAGTGATGCTGAGCACCTTTGCAAATAGGGCCATCTGCGTTTCTTTTTCTATTATCTGTCTATTTAAATCTCTTGCCTATTTTTCTACAGGATCTATAGATTGCTTCTCTTCTCTATACTTATAAACTCTTTATATAGTAGGATTATTAACATTTGTCTTTGATATAAATCACAAATATTTTTCCCATTTTGTCATTTTTACTTTGCTTATGGTGGGTTTTCTTTATTTACTTGTTTTTCCAGTGCAAAAGTGTGTTGTTTTTAATTCTTGATGCTGTCAAATAATCAGTATTTTCCCTTACTGCTTTTGTTATCTTGAGTTACAGTTAGGAAAATTTCTCCTATGTCCAGACTGTAGAGTTTTCACTCATATTTTGTTCTAGTACTTGTGTGGTTTAATTTAACTCTCTGACGCATTTAGAATTTGTCCTGATATGCAGGATAGAGAATGCAATCAATTTCTCTTCTTCTCTGTGACCATCCAGTTATGCTAACACAAATTATTTAAATAAGTTCTAGGGGAGGGAAATAGCTCAGTGGTAGAGCGCACACTTAGTGTGCAACGAGGTCCTGGGTTCAATCCCAGAACCTCCATTTAAATAAATAAATTCACATTTTCTCTACTATTATGATTATTTTACACTACACTTTCCTTTGTGTTTGAGTCTATTTTTTCCTCCTTCATGCTATACTACTATTTTAATTATGGAGGTTTTATTGTATGATGATACATATTTTAGAACTAGCCTCCTTTCATAACTTTTTTTTTTCAAGATTCTCATATCTAGTCTTAGTTTTTCCTTCCAAATCAACTTTGCAGACAACTTTTCTAGCGTCAGGAAACAAACAAACAGACAAAAAACTGGTGGCATTTTAATTGAGATTGTATTAAATGTAATAAATAATTTAGAAATAATTTAATTCTTTATAATGTCCAAAAACATGTATCTTTCCCATTTGTTCAAGTAAACTTTTGAATCTTCCAGCAGTGCTTCACAGTTTTCCTTACAGAGGTTTTAGACGTTGCTTGCTGAGCTAATGTCTAGGTGTTACTGTGTATGTGTTTTCAATGAGGTCTTCTGTTTTATTGTAACTTCATAACATTTTTGTTTAGTTACAGATATTTACATATGCGTATATATGAAATGCATTCAACTTTAGTATGTCAATCAGATTATAGGGATGAAGACATCTGTTTTTACTTTTCAAAACCTGTGAGAATCTTTCTTAAAAAAAAATGGCTTTGTTTTACTTCCTTTGTTCTAAGTAAATAAGTCAAATACTGAGTGGCAACTTATCCCAAAACGTTAAAGTGAAATCTTTACAAATACTTTAACAGCTCTTTATATTTTGGAAGCAATATGTGACCTCAAGTTTACAGGTATTAATATATTTTAATTGGAAAAGGTAGAGAGAACAGGAACAGCCCTGGGCAGAGCTAACAAATGGTTAGTCTGAATTCTTCATTTACAATTTGTAATCCTTTCTTCAGTCTCCATGTTCTCCCAGGGCCTTTGTTTATCAGTGACCCCTTACACTCCAAGAACCCCCAAATAGGACACCATCCAATCTTGGATCTCTTCCTTACTCCAGTTCCTCCTGGTTCCCATCTGACATCAGAAGCTGAGCTGGCATCAAAATAAGAACTGTACCATATGGTGGTTCTGTTTTTAGGTTTTTGAGAAACCTCCATGTCATTTTCCATGGTGGCTGCAGTAATTTACAGTCTCACCAACAGTGTACAAGGGTTCCCTTTTCTCCACATCCTTGCCAACGTTTGTTATGTGTGTTCTTTCTGGTGATGGCCATTCTGACAGGTGTGAGATGATATCTCACTGTGATTTTGCTTTGCCTTTCCCTGATATTAGTGATGTTAAGCAACATTTAAAGTTTTTCTGGTCATCTGCACTTCCTCTTTTGGAAAAATGTTTAATTCTTCTGCCCATATTT